ATTAGGGGCAAAAAAGGGGAAAAAACAAGGGTTTCCTGGTTAATGGACAATTTAAAAGCAGTGAAAGGGAGGTAATCCAAAAACAAAATTGTACAATGTTGTACAATGTTGGATTACCTCCCTTACACTGTTTTTAAATTATCTATTTAAGACTTTTATGATGTATTTAAATTGGTAATTATGGTTGCAAACTCCATTGGAAATTTGAATTGAGATTATGACCATATCTTGAGAGAAAGATTTTTTTTTGGGGGAGGGGGGTAAAAAAGAAATTGTGGGGGGCAATTTTTTCATTCATTTCAGATTTCAGAAATTAAAAAGAAAATTTCTTCAAATTTTTTTTTTGCAAAAAAGGGGGGGGGGCAATATGCAACAGCATAGTGTATTTCACAAAAGCAAAAAAGAAAGGGGGGTATATTTTTTTTGTTTTTGTTGGGGAGGGGGGGGGGGGGGGGGTCAATTCGCAACAGCATAGTGTATTGCACAAAAGCAGAAAATTGAATATAAATTCAAATCATATAACCAATTCTAAGTTCTTTGACTACAGTTATTCGGTGTCAGAAACCTATTTGTTATGTGTCAAATATTTAATTACAATCCAAATTCAGACCTGTATCAAGTGCGAATATTGTGTCCATTTTCGCCACACCTGTTCAGGATTGGACCTCTGCGGTCATATCCAGCTGCGCTCAGCGAAGCATTTTATTGAGATTAGCATCCTGCTCATTTCAAATATTCACTTGAAAAATGTGGCAATCCTAAAAATAAAGAAAGCTATGATTCTTGTAAAATTATATCTACCCAGAATAACTGATGTGACTTACTTATACATTTTTATTAACATTTTCACAAAATGTTTTGAGTAATATAGCAGATAAATTTTATCTTTAACAGTTTAACAAATTTTAAATCCTGAAAAACTGTTCGTTTTGTTTCTTGTTTTCTGTTTTATTGGTGATAAAACTTTTATTAGTGATACCAGATTGTTTATAAAACAGAAATGTTCAAGGTCTTACGAAGCTTGCATAATATTACAAGTTCTGTTTTATTTGATTAGACATATGAGGCCATTAAGATGGTGATAAACTGTAAACATGCCCTACTGGTTAATTTCAACGGAAAGATAATCTGTAAAAAAATAAGTTAGATGTAGGTAAAGAAAATAGATTAATTAAGCTGTAGCTGAAAATATCTTACAAATCTGCAGAGGTTTTACCCCACCCAATGTTAATATAATTGCTAGGTTATGATTAAATGTTATTTTATTAACAATTTTCCCTCTTTTTTTCTTGTTTGAATTGTAAGTTTTGTAATGTTACATCACATCTTGATGGAATTAGTTTTAAGTTCACTGCAACCTAGAGTCAATATATTTTGGTTACTTAATTTTCATTTTAAAACAAATGCCATTAAATTGATAGTTTTGATCTTAAAAAGAGCTTTAAAAATTAAGAAATCTATAAAATTAGCTTGTATCTTAATGAAAATAATCTGATCCACCTGCAATGAAAATAATCCATTATTTGGTAGTTGAGAACTTGAGACTTAGGTTGTTCGTGACCAGACCACCGTTAAAATTGGTAAACGGACAGAAAGTCACAGGAAAAAAATTCACAGGACAGAAAGTCAAAAATATTTTCAAAACTGAGTTGTGACTTTTTGTCCTGTGACTTTTTGTCCAGGACTTTTTGTCTTGTGACTCTCTGTCCTACATGCTTAAAATTGACTTCATTTTCACCCTCCTAAGGTCATATTGACTTTTTATGATGAGGTCTTAGTTTTCCCCAGTAACTATACTAATTAGGTTAAGTTCAAAAAATTTTGATATGTGGATTACATGTGATGAGTATATATAATATAAGGGTCAGTCCATTCACACAGTGCTTTAGTGGTATAGCAGCTGGGAAAACATAACTATACTAATTAAGTCAAGATCAACAAATTTTGGTATGTGGATTACATGTGATGAGTAAATATGATATATGTGGTAATCTTACATGTAATATTTCGTATGGACTGGAATTAAATTTGGTTTGGTCAGTAACTGTCTTCAGGATTAATTCTATTCTTTTATAACTTGATAGACCAACAAAATTTGAAAAATATGGCCTTGCCCTCATTTTCCTGCTCTAGTAATCAGACTTTTGCTGGTACATTTGTACTAATGTTATCCTGACAGAAACATGAACAGAAAAACTTAGATAACAAAAATGTTAAATTTATGATTTTACCAGGTGTTAAGATGAGGAAAGTGAATTTGATAAGATAAAATAAATATTACTATGTCAGATTTTCAGATGTTTATTACAGTGCAGATAAGTCAAAGTAAAGAATATTTGTACCACTTCTGTGGATATTATCAAGTACAAGACATATGTCTTAAATCTAGGCAGGAATTTTTAAACTATAAGGTGTATGCAAATTTTAAATAGAGACAGTGTGACCTACTTTCTAAAAATACCTTAAATGAGGTTGTTTTATTTATAATTTACATTGATTATGTTGCTTTTGGTCATAATATGAGTATATAATATTAGAGTGTAATTGTGGTTTTAAACATCACAATTTCAATTTCACAGTATTCAATAATTTGATCATTACTCTCTATTTTAGCAATTTGGTGTTAGATATGCAGTTATCAGACAATACATTCAATAATCCATGAAAAACTAATCATTTTTTATAAATAACTTATTGCATCAACCACTTTTAAACAGTTTTTGATTATTCCATAGATGTATAAATCCTCTAAACCCTCTATGATTACTCATTTCCAAAATGCATGTGAAGGTACGTAATTTGTCAGTTGTCAGATCTTGTTATGTGATGGTATCAAAGAACTTAAACCAGTCATTAAACTGAAGTGAAAATACAAATGCATATCATCTTGCGATTATTTTTTGAGAAGTTTGTTACACCAATATAATAAATTAGTTTTTGACCTGTCCATCAGTCATTTTAGTTTTTAGATGCAAAATCAAATACCGTGTACTGTACTTATATCTGATTGCAATCTTACTCATATGATCATTTAAAATGAGAGGAAGATGACTATTGATTTTGAGGCCACCACATCTAAATTTTAAGTGACAAGATCATAGCTACTAAAACTTGATATTTTAGACAATTTTACTATCTGAAATCATATATAACAAAAAAGAATCGTAAACAAATAAAACAAAGCCAGCAGTTCACAATAAGCTCCTTTCCTTTAAAGGGGTGTGTTGTGTAAGAGAGCTTGCTGGTCAAGGTCATATATATACAAAAAAATAGAACAAAATTTGTGCAGAAATGGTTTAATTTTAGAATGAAAGGAGATGCTGGAAATGTCATGGTTTTGGATGTTCAGATTGGTTTCGGTGCCATTGAGAAGGATGCTGGGATGGTCAACATAATTTATAAGGATAAAAGTGGACTTTTTTAGATGGTTCATGATAAGAGAAGACCAACTTATAATAGGTAAATTACTTATGTTTAATAGGCTTGGGAATAAGGCTAGTCCCTTACAGACCAGAGAAATCTAAATATGCATTTAAGAATGAATTAAACATATTGCACAGACCAAAAGAGTACATGTTTTGTGATCCCAATGGAAATCAGCCATTAGGCAACTAAGGCGAAAGATAATTTCCATTATAATTGATTCTTCCTCATGACTTAATAAGTATGATTAAATATGAATAAAATAAGTTAAATAATGTTGTATAATCTGGGAAAGAGGATAAATATGGGTCATTATACAATATATTCAAAAAGATGAAATTACGAACAGTAGCGGTAAACATTTATACTCAGTTGACATTTTTAAGAAATATAATATTTTTTTAAGGAACTGAATGTTATTTGATATATTTAACCTAGTTCATTTAAGTGAAAGTATTTAAAAAAATATTTTTCTTTACATTTGTTGCATAGACCAATCTGAAGTTGTTTTTTATGAATGAGTTACACAGATTGAATCAGCGTAAATAACTGTCTACAAACAATCTGTTTTTTACTATTCTATAATAACATAGGCATTGTACAGGAAATGCACCAATTTGAAAGTCATCTATAAGAGATTGAATACTAGATCAATTTTGATTCATACAAGATACAAATATCAATAATTGTGGTTTTAGAATTTTTTGGGGTAATATTTTACAAATTTGAATTCAATGTTCTTAAATTTGTCCTTGTTAGTATTTGATAAACATTGTAACTCATAATATATATGCACTACGATCCTTTGATCGCTACTGTCAATATACATACTTTGCTTTTGCCAAATCCCCAACAGCTTCTGTACTTTTAGAAAGTTATTTACATTTGTAAATGCGTTAGTTTACTATTTATAAGAAAATAGAATTGTTCAAGGACATAAAATTATAACTTTGCATTTGATGTTCTATTTTTTGGGAGATAAATATAAAGATTAAACTGCATTTCAGAATACATTTGATGTGTAAATCACCACTAACAATAGGGGATGTCATTAACACAGAGGAAATAAAACTTTTTTAACATCTGTCACACATTTTTATTGGAATGAAACAAAACAGTGAATATTTTGGTATAATTTCCAGAAACAAAAATGGTCATGTGAGGATTGTGAGTGATTTTTATGTACAGATATCTGGAAATTCCATATTTCTATGTTTTGAATTATTTTTGTTTTGGGATAATATTTTAAAATATGATGCAAATCAGATTTTTTTTAAAACTTTTAAAATATTAAAAATAAATAGCATGGGACACATTTTAGATGTCAAAGTTAACCTATAGCCTTTAATTATTCAAATGAGTTATTTTACAAGGTTTTGTTCTTATATTTTGATAAACATTTTGATAATATGTAATACATGTATCTAAATAGACTAAAGACAATAAGATAGACTAGATCTTTTCCATCATTTTTAACTTGGATTGAATGATTACAGATTTTTAAAGGCTAAAGTTAATTTAGAATTTAATCAAAAAGAAAAGTTTAAAGATTAATAATCTGAACAAAATGATTACAGGTTAAACTGAATGGACATTTAAGATGATAGGACACTGCTCCAATGATGAAAAGGCTCGGTGAGGTGTAGCCGGAGTTTGTTCCCAGGTGAACGTATTACAGGTAGGTTGACACATTTGTATCTTCACAATCAAAAGAAAATCTTCTTAAATTTCTCATAGTATTTGGCAAGTATTGTTAAAGGTGAACTATGCATACTTTAAAATCAATATTAAGTTGAAATGGATGCTTTGATTAAAACATTTTTTAGGGTAAGATTATTTTGGATATTGTTGTATACCTTTTGCAAAGTTTTTTTTTATATTGATAGTTTTCACTCTGGAAATTTTCAGGAAGTTATATACAAATAGCAATAACTCTTTCATATTTATGTCATGTTTTTTTCATATTTTCACCCCTGATTTGCCAAATGAATGCTGTATGCATTAATTATGATTTTATGATTAAACTTTAATATATGATTAGAAGTATAAAGAAAGAGCTAAGCAACTTGGGAACTAGGGGTTATAGATACTACACATATTAATAAATATTTAACCAAACAGTCTACTATTATCAGTATAATCAGAGGGCATTGGATCCCATCTTTTCTTTGAAGCATGCTGAATGATTTTTGTCGAGCCTGCGACTTTTGTCGCAGAAAGCTCGACATAGGGATAGTGATCCGGCGGCGGCGGCGGCTGCGGCGCTGGCGTTAGCTAACTTCTTAAAAGCTTTATATTTTAGAAGGTGGAAGGTCTGGATACTTCATACTTTGTATATGGATGCCTCATGATACGAAGTTTCCGTCAGTCACATGTCCAATGTCCTTGACCTCATTTTCATGGTTCAGTGACTACTTGAAAAAAAAGTTAAGATTTTTTGTAATGTTAGATTCTCTCTTATTATAAGTAATAGGATAACTATATTTGGTATGTGCGTACCTTGCAAAGTCCTCATGCCCGTCAGACAGTTTTCACTTGACCTCGACCTCATTTCATGGATCAGTGAACAAGGTTAAGTTTTGGTGGTCAAGTCCATATCTCAGATACTATAAGCAATAGGTCTAGTATATTCAGTGTATGGAAGGACTGTAAGGTGTACATGTCCAACTGGCAGGTGTCATCTGACCTTGACCTCATTTTCATGGTTCAGTGGTTATAGTTAAGTTTTTGTGTTTTGGTCTGTTTTTCCTATACTGTATGCCATAGGTCTACTTTATTTGGTGTATGGAATGATTGTAAGGTGTACATGTCTAGCGGGCAGGTGTCATCTGACCTTGACCTCATTTTCATGGTTCAGTGGTCAAAGTTAAGTTTTTTGAGTTTTGGTCTTTTTTTCTAATACTATATATGCAATAGTTCAACTATATTTGGTGTATGGAAATATTTTATGATTTATTTGGCAGTCACGCAGGTTTTGTTTGACCTTGACATCATTTTTCAAGGTTCATTGCTCAGTGTTAAGTTTTTGTGATTTGGTCTGTTTTTCTTAAACTATATGCAATAGGTCAACTATATTTGTTGTATGGAAGAATTTTTAGCTGTACATGCCTGCCTAGCATGGTTCATCTGACCTTGACCTCATTTTCATGGTTCATTGGTCAATGTTTAGTTTACTTGGTTAATGTTAAGTTTATGTGACAGTTGTAATAAAGCTTTATATTTAGGACAATCAACATAATATCAATGATTAGTAAAGAAGGCGAGACATTTCAGCGTGTGCACTCTTGTTATAATTAGACCCTGCTATCTGAAAGTCTTTTGTACATGTTATGTTTTTGAATAAACATCAGTAAACAGATTTAATATTAGTCAACGGAGAGGCAGTACATGTATTAAAAGAAATTAATGAGTATGTATACAAAATCTGACAATGTACCTCACTATAAGTATACAGTATATATTATATGCATTGACAGTGTATCTCACAAATTGGTGTGAATATAATGAACCTAAAAGTGTACCTCAAATTACTATGGATACAGTATTCTGACAGTGTATATCACTAAGTTGTATGGATACAAAATACTGAGAATATCTCACTTTTTGGTAATTAGTGTGGATTCAAGACACTTGATGGCATATATAACATACTAACAAGGTATCTTACTCATACTTATGGATACAGTATACTACCAGTGTATCACATATTAGCGTCGATACAATACACTAACAGTGAATCTCAGATATTGGGGTGGATACAATACACTGACATGGTATCTCATATATTAGTGTGGATACAATACACTGCTAGTGTATCTCACATATTGGTGTGGGTAACAATTCACTGACATTGTATCTCACATAATGGTGTTGATACAATTCACCGACAACTTGTATATCACATATTATTAAGGATACTGACAGTATATCTCACATATAAGAAAGGATACTGACAGTGTGTCTCATATAAGTAAGGATACTGACAGTGTATGTCACATATTAGTAACGATACTGACAGTGTATTTCACATATTACCAGTTCTGTGGATACAATACACTGCCAGTGTACCCCACATATTATTAAGGATACTGACAGTGTATGTCACATATTAGTAAGAATACTGACAGTCTATCTCCCATATTACCAGTTCTGTGGATACAATACACTGCCAGTGTATCCCACATATTATTGAGGATACTGACAGTGTATGTCACATATTAGTAAGGATACTGACAGTGTATCTCACATATTACCAGTTCTGTGGATACAATACACTGCCAGTGTATCTCATATATTATTAAGGATACTGACAGTGTTTGTCACATATTAGTAAGAATACTGACAGTGTATCTCCCATATTATTAAGGATACTGACAATGTATCTCACATATTATTAAGGGTACTGACAGTGTATGTCACATATTAGTAACGATACTGACAGTGTATCTCACATATTACCTGTACTGTTGATGCAATACACCGCCAGTGTATGTCACATATTAGTTAGGATACTGACAGTGTATCTCACATATTACAGGTACTGTGGATTCAATACACCGACAGTGTTTTCACACATTACAGGTACTATGGATACAATACACTGACAGTGTATCTCACATATTGGTTTAGGTACAATACACTGAGAGTCTAGCTCACTAATTATATCCCCATTCTTAAAGAGTAACACATTTCTGTTGCATTTTTCTCAGCAACTAAATATCAGAGCTTCTTGATATTTAATACCAAGCTTCATATTGGAAAGCCTTACTGTGTGACATATTTCAAGATCAGTCACTTACCTATACATTTTAGTTCTTCATATTGATGCACTGTGAGTTATGTATGAAATTTTTGTTGCATCTTGTTCAGTAGCAGTAACCTTTACATGTGATACATTTTCAGATTAGTAACTTATCTACTTTCAACATTTATGAATATAAAAATAAAAAGATGTGGTATGATTGCCTATGCAAACTACCAACCGGGGACCAAAGGATCAGGATGTAGACAACTATAGGCCACTGTATGGCCCTCAACAATGACCAAAACTCGTACAGTATAGTAAATGTTAAAAGACCCCCGCATGGCTAAAGGTGAAACAAATTGAAAGCAAAAACCAAAGGTTTAATCTTAAACGACTCTCATGGTCTTGATTAATTTGGACTAAAAGTACTTGTTCAGACATGCAATTCTCCTTATGAAGCAATCTATATATTTTAATCACTTTAGTTCTGTTTTTGCTCACCCTTGTAAACCTTTAAGTTTAGGATTACAAACTATTGACCTTAAATTTTCTCCATAGAGTTTTATTTAGTAACAAAAGATCACCGTCACTGTCGAAGATGTATTACTTCTTTAATTTCTTGTAAACTTCATAAATTTCTTAGAGAATGTGTATCCCATATCAATCTGTATTACCTTTACATTACACCTGGGGTGGTTAAATAAATTGTTTTGGACAGGTGTAATACTGGTGTGGTGTCAATAGATTAATTTATCTTGTCACAACAAAGAAGTGACCACCCAGAGTCACCTCAAGAGAAAGTCTTCTTAAAGGGGATAATTTTATCATCAGATTTCATGACCAATTTGTCCAACTGTTACAGTTACAAAATGTATTTAACTATAAAATCAAGATAGTGTGGATTAGTGAAGTTTAACAATATGATTTACTTGTATTAAGAATAACTACCGGTACATGATTAAAAACTTCAGACTCTATATAGAAACAAGTGTATGGGAAATGGGTAGTCATGATGAATCAAGTGAAAAAATTTCATGACAGTTTGAAGAGATTTGTTAATTATTATTTAAAACTGCTTTTTAGGATCATGTGCCTAAATGCAGACAAGAGTATGACACCAGAGTTCTCAAAAAGTGGTGGTCAAGGTTTTGACCACCAAAATTTTGCATAGGACAGACAATTTTGTTATTATGCAATAGAAGTAATAGTGAAGATCAGCAGATTTTCTTCAAGGAACACTGGGGAAATAAAGATTTCGAGAACTCTGTATGATACATGCACTGATACAGCTAATAAAAGTTTTACTTTATGGAAAAGTTTTAAATTTTTTGAAAGCAGTTTTCTGGTTTTTAATACAGGAACCTTAGAAAATATGACTAATATCTGTGAATATTTCTGGTCATATGCAACACAATAGAAGCAGAAATGACTTGTTCATCTTGGGCATTTGTCCTCAGCTCTGGTTTAGTTGGGGTTCTTTTTTCATAGTTTTTAGTTTTTCTGTCTGTGTAGTTTTTATTGCACCTTTAGATTGCTTTATATGTCTTGTTTTTTTTCTTGGCTATGGTGTTATCTGTCCTTTTTTTCTTATGAAAGTTATCTCCCCTCCCATTCTTCTTCTTTTTCATGCCCAATGTTCTTCCATGGAGCCTTTTTGCATCATGGTGAGGTGATGCTATCTGAAATGAACTTCTTATAGATTGTCTAATGGGTGTGATCTTAAAGTTTCTAGAAAATGTTTTTTTTAAATTAGATCGGGTGTCTTTTTCAGAGCATCCCTTCTTGGCATGTTGCAAAAATACATTTTGGGTTTAAAAATATTTTACCAAGTTGTATTCTATATACAACACAAACATCAAAAACTTGAAATTTCAAGATTAAACTACAGAAAAATTAAGTGTCAATTAAGTGTATTAAAATTTTACAGAAAAATCCTTTTAAAATCAAGGGCAGATAATAATACTAAATTTGATAGGAAAATTTGTGTTTTTTTTATTTTTTAGAAAATAAGGCCCGTCACCCCCTATTTTTATTTGATATTTCAGAAGTATTTATGAAAAGTAATTCTCTCATTGAATTTGAACCAATTCTATTGTTTAGTGTTTCCTCAATAAGAAAAAAATAAGTTTTCCCTATATAACTCGTTTTGAATAACTGTGATTTCATTAATTTTAATGTATTTTAACGAAAAAACAAGGTCTGTGACCCCCAGTTTTGTTTATTGATATTTGAATGTAAATTGACCCAGAAGTCTTTTACAGAAGTTTCAGAAAAATCTATCATTGAACATTTAGACACCCCAGCTACCTTAACAAGGATGTTTCATGATATTTATGGGAGAGAACATTGTGAATATACTGGTAGCCTATGATAGTAGGGGGAATATAATTTCCTGTCTCTGCATCCTTGTGTTAGTCTGTGCCTTATCTGGTTATTATAAAATGAGTTTTCTATGCAATTACTACATCAATTTGAATCTTTGGACACATGTTCATTATAATGGGAAATTTTAAAAATGTATGCTAAGTTAGGGCTTTGACCAAAGGTGTTCTGGTTCACTGACTTGAAAATGTGATAGTATGAATGGGACACTGTCACACAGTGTCCTAAGGATGTGTATCTAATTCACAAACTTTTTAAACCTTTATTTAGTTCCAGAATCTAGAATTCTTCCATTGAAAGCATGAACTATAACTGTTTAAAGCTTTTCCTAAAAATTGTATGTACAGCTACAGAAAAACGGTCGACATCCATTTTATTTGATGAACTTAAGGATTGTAAAAAGGCATAGCTTGAGGTACTTTTACCTTGAAAAGACTACTCAAAATAGGATATATCATACAGAATAAAATCCTATTATACCTATATATAAATCTTGTTTAATGTTTAAATAAAATTATATAGAATCCATACAAAGGGGTGATGTGATTTTAAAGATGTTATGATAGGGGATTAGTTTCGTGATGGATTGTAGGTAAAGTTCATGGATACATACAAGCATGTTTATCTGTGTATATTTCTCATAGATTTATAAATGAATTTCTGAAATAAAATAGTTTTGTCTTCTTAATGCAAAAGTTTAAAGTTTAAAATTTTATTGGTTTAATATCCAAATTTTGTATTGTTGTCAGATAACAATTTTAGAAATAATGCAAAAGGTATGTACGAGCATTAATCAAACAGCTAGTTATTAATTGTTATGTATCAACTTTCGTATTTAACTAGGGAATTATGGCCAAGAGGTAGAAAATATCTAAACTTAGACCCATGTATTTCAGTAATTCAGTGTTTCCTTTGCTACGTACACAACTATTGAAACTTTGTGATGAAAATGTTTTGCGCAACAGCAGGCAATGATCAACATTATCGCATAAATTGTTTATCTAATGGGTAAAACTTTACTGTTTTCATTAAAGTTGTTAAATTGTTTGCATCACAAAAAAAAATATTTGATTATTTCCATTTGGAAAATTGATTGAAAAGAACTCATGTCTAAACAACATGTTTTAAAGAAAAGTATGTGATAAATAAATCTTATAAATACAGAGTAATTAATGTTAACGAAATAAACTTCCATGTGCAAAACAATCTTTAAAAAAGTTATAAATTTCAGCAGATACTGGTATAATTACTTCATTTTAATTTCAAGTTTCCTAAAAAAAATTGCATAATCTGACACCACAGCTGGTTCTTGTCAAGATTGGTAAAATTTCTTCCATCATTTTCAGATAAACTTAATCAACCTTGAGATGACAGATTATCTTCAATAATTTAGAACAGTTGGTGCTACAAGCCAAATGATGCTGGTCATAGAATATTTGACCTTCACAAAACGACCAGTAAGTTATTTTTAGTAAACCTGATAGTTTTTAGAAATAATGAAAATAAATTTTTTTTGCTATTGCCTGAATTTTGTCTATTAATTCTAAATTTTGTATAAACTTAATTTATCAAAAATTTCTTCCTTTTTCCCATTGTAATCATGATGTGTGTCATGGAAAAAAATATTGTCAGGTTGATTTGATTTTATTCATAATTATATATTCAAATTGATCAGAAGTTTTCAATTATTATTTCATCAAATTCCTTTTATAAAATTCTAAATAGTGTCCTGGTTTAGAAACTTTTTAGGAGCATGTTTTTGCTGGAATTTATACAATTAGGTCAAAATCAAATTCTATAATAAAACCTGTTAGAAATTCAATTCTGATAGAATGAGGTTGAAAAGTTATAGCTTAACCACCCAGGTAGAACACTGCCTATTTCTTTAAAAAAAAATCATAGAAAATTTGTATTATGTAATAGAATTTGTTATGTTCCAGAATTTTGACAGTTTTGAAAAAAGGTGATAAAGAATGAAGCTGAATGAATTCACAAAATGTTTTATTATTTTTCCAGATGAATGACATCTGTACTCATTGCTGACTGTTAGAGAAGGTGAGAATTTATGTGATAAGCATGTACTAATAAAGATAGTGCTAATCCCTATATCAATACTGATAGGTAATAATAACTGAAATATTGAGACTTCTGCTGAGTTCACACATTCTTACTAATAGTTGTGGATTTCTTATATTTAAAGTTGAACATGAAAATGTTCAAAACACAGATCAGAATTACTGTAAACCAACTAATTTTCATGACTTTTGTGAAAAATAATGTGAATATAAATCATTGCGAATATTTCAAAATAGGATTTTCTCTTATAAGTATTTTAGAAAATAAATTTGGTTTACACCATTAGTTTTGGATGAAAGTATCCAAGATTGTAATGTTTTATCCTTTATATGTCCATGTGTCAATAATAAGTGAAAATTTGCCAAAAATAGTTAACATTGAATGGATGTAGTTCATGAAAATTTTCATACCAAAATGGATGGTTTTGTTTGTGGAACAACATTACCAATATTGCATCTTCCTGACAAATCAACCTAGACAAAAATGGAAAGGAATAGTTAAATAAAAAACAGGTACAACTCTTGCAAAAATTGTTGAATTGAAAAATATTATTTATGATTATACTTCATGCAAAATGTTTTCATAAAATAGGAGAGCTTTCATACTGTAGAGCTTGACAAGAGTTACATTCTGGGGTAAGGGCACCAAATCAATGTTATATATAAGTCTATGCATTAGCCAGATATGTAGTTATCTAAAACTGCCCCTGAAATTGACGAAAAATATTCAGATGTAGTGGTTTATGTAAAGTTATTGAAACATAAGAAAAATGAAAAAAATGTATATTAAGCACTATGCAAAAAAAAAAAAAAACAATTGAAGAGTTGATAATCTATTTCACAATCTTAAAGTTTTACTGTAATTACATTTGATGATTGAACATAAAATGTTTTTGTTGGAATAAAAACAAAAATAAAGATTTAATTTTAGATCAAATACATTACCCTGAATCTCAAAGGAAGAAAAGCTAGTTATTTAATTGTTGACTTGAAGTTTGAACATTACAAGCTATAATCCCTAATGAAAACAATTCTGAACAGATGCATCTGATACATCTGCACTTGACTTTAAATCTTTAGAATTAAAAGTTTGCAGAGCCATTATAGTATTTGATCATAGTATTAAAATCTTTACATAAAACTTTAAGGGAAATGGCAATTTGTATTGTTACTTTTTAACATTGTTTGGTTTCATGTAGATCAGGCATGTCAGGTGGAACATAAAATTGAAATACAGCAGTAACAGGTAGGTCAGGATTTTTTTTTGGTGGTCCATCAAAACTAAAATCATACATTGCAATTTCAAGGACTTCTGAAATCCTCAGAGGCAAAAATATATAATAAATTATTATAATAATACAAAACAATAATGTATGTTATTAAATATTGATTGTAGGAATAACTATTGACATTGGGTTTTGTATCACAGTGGCTTTTGGCAGGTACCATCACCTTTTTATAGTTTATTGTTCACAAGTACAGCAGAAATAATGACAGTTACCTAGACTTTATAGAAAGTTTACAAAAAGTAATAGTAATAGAAATTCTGGAATGAATAATCCAAGTAATACTGGCCTAGTTTCCTCCCAATATATATTTGAAAATGATTAAGATGTGAAGAAATATCAGCACCTTACTCAAAAAAAAAGAAAGAACAGGGGTCCATTCCTCATGATTCTATGGTTTGTATAGACAAAGTATGTAAATGTACTGCCTGTTTACATTGATGTTGTTAAAATGATGAAACTTGGTTTGTGATTGGATGTTTGTTATGCACCTTTAAAAGAAAAGTCAATAGTAAGTTCAAGATAAAGATTTCTTCTATGGCTTTCTCTGCTAGAAAATTTTAGAACTTAAAAAGACTGTTTGAGACATTAAAAGTCAAACTTTCTTGTAAGATATATATTAAGATACATTAACATTTATGCTTTAAAACCTCAAAAGGCCTCAAGGACCATGTGTGGTCAGTTAAAATGAAAATAAAATATTGAGGTACATGTGGTGAAATAAAGAATCCCAAAAAAGAGAATGATTTATTGTGGTATTTGAGGTGAAGTTAATGTACATGTATATCAGTTTGTGGTTTACCGCAAGATATATCAATCAGGCAATGAAAATAGAAGAAAAAGTAAACGTTTTGCTTAATCAACAGTTGTAATAGCATAGTGTAAATGTTATTTTAGCATTCAAAATTTTATTTGTATATACGTGCAATAAAGCATGTGCAGTTTATATTTCTAAAGCTAAAGAGCTTGTGGTTTATATTTCTAAAGATAAAGAGTACTATTAAACAAACAAGTTTTGAAGCTGTGAACTTCAGTGTTTTTTAAGGAATTGATTTATATAGATATTTGGTTCACAGATAAGGTCCAGTTTTCCTTGAAGATACTGGTGTTTCATTTTGATTTATTGGTACTTATAGTAATACTTCATGTAACCTTGGACTGACACCAGTCGATAAAACAGATATCTAGTAATTAATGGGTACCAGTATAATATATGTCCTTCAATCTCTACCATAACTTATTCTGTCTAGAGCTGACATGACAGTTCCAATTGACATCATCATGATATACTCTTAAGTCTTGTCTGTCCTCTTAAAGAGTTGCTTCATAGATAGATACTTATCAAACTCTTAGTATGACAATTTTCATTGAAATTTTTTTCTTAATTCTTTTTATTTGGAAAACATCAATCTCTTTGAGCCATGACTACAATTTTTGTTACTCTGCAACTAAGCAGCCTCATGTAGAAAAAAACAGATGTCTGGCGTTTTAAATTTTAAGCCTGGTATTTTTTTTAATTTGTTTTATTAGCATAAAACAGCATCTGTTATTTAGTTAATGTATATTGAGAAATTTTATACTTAGATATATATCTGTAACAAAAAGAGTCAGATTGTGAGTTCAGTTATAACGTTTTTCCCTCACTTCCACAAGAAGTAAAGCATGTGTCAGTCTTATATTCGTTCTTACAGCCTCACCTTACAAAAAATGTACAGGGATTTAAACATATTTAATAACATGAAACTTAAATGGCTTTTTCTTAATTTGAAAATTGCTTTATCAAGTAACATTTATACACATGTCATATTAAAATGACAAGAATTTTAATGAAAAAAGTAAAAAAAAACAGTACGACATATTAAATTTCATTTCCTAAAAAAAACTGAATGAAAAGATCATGGCAAGATAAAAAATTTCTCAGATGATATGGAAAAGATCAGGTTTCAATTACTCAAAACTTCCAATTTTGAAGATGTTTAAATTTCACAGTTATTTTGATAAATACGTAGAGATTTGCCTGGAGGCTGTGTGGCTTGTTAAAGTATACTGTGATGTATGGTAGGTTGATCCCACCTTTAACAATTTATCATTGTCAAGTTACAATGGCTCTAGGGTCAGGGATTATTATCCCCTCCCATCCTTAACATAAAACAGTATGTTCCTGGTTTTGTTTACATTGTTAACCTTTGATTCCTTTAATCCATTCATTACACAGAGATCAGTGACACTGGATTAACAAAGAATCTCTGTGTTTTTCAGCAGTGTGGACTTTTATCATTTTTTTCAGGTAAGCTTTTGTGGTTGCAAGTATTTTTTTAAGAAAAAGTCCAATGATTATTTAAATGTTAGAATTAATTTTAGAAAAAGGAGTTTTTTTCATAAATTCAAATTTATAAAGATCTATAATAGCAGTTAAAAAATATATTGAAATAAAATGTAAAGATTTAAAATATAGCTTTTCTTTTGGTTAGCTGAATCCATAAGAATCAAATGTAAATGATGTGTATCTAAGATTGGATTTATGGTTGCTTGGACCTTATGTATGAAAGTCCTCAATTTTTTTGTTTGTTAAAAAGTATGAAATTATATAGATCTTGAAAGTCTTGTTTTAATGCTGTCTTATTGAGTGGTAGTTCTAACCTTTTAAGTGGTCCAACTCCTTTTTCAGGCCATGAACATGTATTCCAGTGGTGTTTTTTTTTTTAAACTTTTTTCATTGACATATTGTCTCTCTTGATTCTTTCTAATTTTGTTCCCCATGCTCAATTCTTGTTAAATGTTTTGTTAGCCTTGAACATATTTTTTTAAAGATAAGAGGTTGTTGAAATGGGGCATACAATAAAGTTAATAACATAAAATAAGATGCCAAAATATACTGAACCTACAGAAATAGACATTTATCATACTGGTAGTGATTATAGAGTAAAAGTCCTTTTTTCAAAGTTACAATGTTTAGTTTTTATGAGACAGTACCCAGGTAATTCATCTTTCCCTGACATGAAAGTAAATACCATCTTGCTTTGTTATTTATCTAGTTATTCCCTGTTATTTATACATCAATTGTATGTTATGTATACCCTTTATTGAAAAATTTAAGAATTATTTTCCCACCATTTAACAATAATTATATCTTAACAGTAGGGGACATCATTAAACATTATGTCACACAAGTCCTTGTTTATTTCACCTTTTGTCACTAAATAGCTAAGTAATAATTGTTACTTTCATGGTTTATTTGATAATCACAGACCATGAAACCTTTTATCTCAAGTAATGATAGAGCATGGTCTGTCTAAAAGAAAGTCTTGATAAAATTCTGCAGTTGCAGATAGGATTAGTTAACAAACAGATGGATTGTCAGGTTTTGTGGTTGAAATTAAACAGATATTTCCAGAAAATGATATACTTTTTATCTTAATTGATGGTGAGAGTTGTGCATGAGGAATTGGTTGTGCTAACTAAATACATGTTATGTAATAGAACTGTCAAATGATGTTTATTTTTTATGTTTGCTGTTCAGCTGTTGTGTCATATATTAAATTTGTTAGAAAATACTGTGAAGAGAACTTACAGGACTTTGATATTCAATTTTGGTAAGACATCTTAAAGAGGAATATATATTATTACCTTATCAAAACTTAATTTTCAGATATGCATTATAAGCACGATAACTTGCCTACCTGTTGAATTGGCATTAATTATATTGATGTTAATTGTTTTGCTGAAGAAATTGTTTGCTGTTTAGTGACAAGCAGTTTATTAAACATTGCTTGAAAATATTTGAGAGAATTTGAAGGTGAGCTTTCAATGAATCCCTGTTCAATTATATGACTACACCTGTAAAATACTTATTTACAGTTACATTTCAGATAAACATTTACTTATATATCAATTGAAAATGAAATATAATAGTTTGATAAAAATAAGTGCATCAGAAGCTACAGCGTCATATATGATTTTAATTAAAAGTATAAAAAATCCCTTCAGTTCATCTTTACCAACTATAAGATAGGAAGAAACCTCCAACGTCATGATGCCATATTCAAATTGAAATACCATTTAAAAAATACAGTTTTGCCTTGGTTCAGTTAACTATAGTAACAAACCTCCACTCTTTGGATGGCTACACAACTTATTTTCAGTTGGCATGTTTAGAGCTATTGTTAACTTTTCACATTTTCCTCATCTCTTGAACTGCAAATCCAGATGTATCTGAATGTAAGGAAGGCTGATTTATATAACTTTTTCAATACCTGAGGTAAAAAAGGTCCTTTTTATGACTGACACAGACATTGCTTGAAATTGATAGGCCATTTTTCTCTTGAATGGGCTATTTTATTTGTGTTCATACATTGCAACATTAAGAGAAAGTACACTTTATTTGTACTGTCCTAATATAGATATTTTTTATGCTGCCATTATTATTATTTTCATTAAACAAATTGTCCATTATAATTAATCTAAGTATAAAATTGATATGTATATCAACTCAAATGATCAGTTTTTATTATCACCTTAAATTAGCATATAATTCTATAATAAAGTACATTACACAAATATGTAACATTTATCTTGTAGATATTGTTATTAGAATGGTTACATGTACATGAATGACGAAATAAAAAGTGATGTTGAAAGATGTCTGTCTGTCTGTCAAAAAGTACTCTGCGTCAGACATTTCTATGGATGATACTGGTAGCCTGCTTATCTTCACTGGTAACTTACCATATTGGACTGTTACTACCATGGGTAGAAACGAACCAGGCTTCAGATCAGGTCCAGCAACATGTAAGAATGAATCGTATGCTGATGAAAGAAGTTAATTCAAAAGAGACTGGCACTGATGACAGAATATATGAAAATAATGGCAGGCAAAATTCCTTGAGGAAGTTATCTGTTAATCAGCATCACAGTACACAGAGCTCCACTATACTGGCCAAGTTGAAACAAGTAAGTACTTATCTGACTGCTCACAGTACTAAGCAAACTTTAAATATTTGTACCTCACTGTACCTTAAAGAACATGTATTGTAAATATTAGTTTCAATTATTTGCCATTTGTCATGCTCAGGCTTCATAGTGACCTATAGTTATTCTTTATGACCTTACAGTGACCTATAGTTGCTTACATCCACATTCTTTGGTCTATGGCGGATAGTTTTCTCATTGGCAATTGGCAATCATGCCACATCCCATTGTTTTTGTATTCCTTATATTTTATAAAAGAACAAGTGTGGACACAGATGAATGTGGATAGTATGTTTGGATGTTTGACAGTGTTTTATATGACAAAAGGAGTTCTATGTTTTTCCTATATGGTGTTATTAACTGTGTTGCACGATGACAACCAATCTGAGCATGAGGAGTGTTGTTTATTTAATATTTAGATTTTATGTTCAAGAGGGCATGAAAGAGACACTAATTGCATTAATGACCAAATGATTATGATAGAATATTTTCCACATCTTTGATTTTGGATAAATTTTGTAGCTAGGAGAGCATCACATAATAGGTTCATTTTTTCATGTGATTTTTTTTTAAATGGGAGATGATATCTGAGAACATGATATCAGGAGGCTGCAATTCAGTGGTTGTTGTTTGTCTATGTGTTACATAATATTTGTTTTTTGTTTATTTTGTGAACATAAATAACATAAATGACAATGCGTTATGGGCTTTGCTCATTGTTGAAGGCTGTACGGTGACCCGTAGTTGTTAATTTCTGTGTCATTTTGGTCTGTTGTGGAGAATTGTCTCATTGGCAATCATACCACATCTTTTTTATATGTATTTGCTCACTATTTGTATGGTTCTATTTATATTACTTTGTGGTGGATTGTCAGTATCATTAGTAAAATATTTTGTTAAAATGTCGAAATTATTTCTCAGATTAGAAGACATTTATTGGTTTTTAGTAATGAAAATGCCTGACATGATGCTTGGGGCTAGATGAGCTAGAAAGTAAACTTCTGTGTTGTTTTTTATCAATTCTTTGATAACATCTCCTCCAAAGCTGGCCGAAGCAAAAACAAGTTTTGACCAATATGAAAACGATATCAACAAAAAAACCTTTGTGAGCATGCTTCAAAGACTCATAACTGCTCCAAAAGTAATCTGATAGAATTTCAAGCATGTCAAGTGGGTATTATGAAAATCTACTTAATATGTCTAAATATCAAAAAAGTTATAGTATTCAATATGAAAAAGGTATTGCAAAATTATTCTCTTTTCAATTTTTTTTGTTATACATGTATGGATAGAAATATAAGTGATACCAATACAGTATTTGTTGTGGTATGAAAGTGTAGTTATTAACATTTACTGTAACAATGTTAATTCACACAAATTATGAAATAAACAAATGAATGAAAAATGTTGAACATGTACAATGAAATATAGTTTTAGAAATCAATTAGGCCAGATAGGCCTTATAATTTTTTTTTTTTTTTAACATACTGAATGACCATTTACACTCAGGACCGAGTCATCAGTAGGCAGTACAGATGTATTAAAACAACCTAGCATCATATTGCTAGTAGCGAGTGTAGCATTGTCAGGTAAATTTGTTCTTTTTTTAAAATTTGGTTAAAGGACAAAAAATGTTTGGTTCAAATCATAATAAAATGCTTTTATCTCCTTATTACTTACATTGTACATAGAATGGATACTACCCTGACAAATCCTTGTACATGAGAGTTGTCTGTCAAATCTTTATTTCACAAAGAATGAATTGCATAACAATGAACCGAGCTCAAAGCAAAGCACTTTAATAATACACTTAGACAAAGAGCTCAATCCAGTGATATACTTTGTACTACAGGTCCTTCATGAACATCCTATCCACCAAAACCATATCTCACAAACATGCCATACTACATGTACATGGTTCGATCAGAAGTCCTGAAAAAGATATGAATTTTATTATCATATTTTAATTATACATACACAGGTTAAAAGTTATATACTCCAATGGCAGTCTTTCCTGCTAAAATGTCATGTGTAGAATGTGATATACCATTTTTGGGTCTATATGGGTACTGTCCTTTATATTCATTAGGTCATTTTGACACAACAAAATATATAGAAAGTGTTAACTTTGATCTGGAAATTGAGTTCTTTTTCGCAAAATAAACCCACTAAAACTAAACTTTGAATGCAAAAGACCCCTAAATGGCTAACAGATATTGCTATAAAGAATAGTCCATGATGATTATTGTTATTAAAGAGTTCATGAAATGTACACTGATTCTGTCAGTTGAATGGACTAGAATGAGATAAGTTATATAAACATAAAGGTTTTTTCAACAGTTGTGGTGTAAATTAAATCAGTTTTATTTTATGGTTGACATATTTAAGTATATATGTAGACCATTGGCTTTTCAACACTTACAATATCGATTATCTATTTATTGTTATATTGTTGGTATTTTTCACCTTCCTAAAACAGTTTTAACGCAACATGAACGCAAGCTTAATAGATCTTGATAGGGTGTCCTCACATATTTTGACGTTGCTGAAAAATTTTGGTTGACATATGTATCCTCTTCTCATCGTTTTTCGTGCTATTAAGAATGCATACTGTCGTCACAATTTCCATTGAAAAGGCATGCATAGTACAAATTCATATGACGAACGAAAACATATGATCTGACTATATACATGTACATGTATGTATAGGTTATCAGCTTTTCTGCACATATTAGCCGGTAAGCCGCAATGAACCTATTATGGCGAGTGAGCGCAGCTGAGCTAAAATGAATCAAATTGTGTCCTCAGTGGGGGATATTTTAAGGGATCTATATGAAGAAAACCTGATCATCTGTTTATCGTTCTATTACTGGCTTTTTCACCTCCCTAACTTGGCCTAAGACAGTTTTTACAGACGAAAGCAAGCTTGATAACTACTCCTCACACACATGTAAAGATTATCGGCTTTTCTACACGAGTCATGAATATCGTAAAATGTTAGCCAGTGAGCAGGCCCGCAATGAACCTTTTTAGCGAGTGAGCCCAGCTAATGAGCTAAAATGAATCAAATTGTGTACTCAGTCACAGTTGGTGATATTTTAAGGTATCTACACAAAGAAAACATGCTTATATAAATCTCAGTGGCGGATCCACAACTTTTCATAAAAGGGGGGTGGCCGCTGACTGACCTAAGGGTTGCCCACTCCCGTCATGCTTCCCCAGTGGCGGATCCGGGGGGACGGTTCCGAGGGTTGGAACCCCCCCCCCCCCCCCTTTTTTTGGACGATCAATGCATTTGAATGGGGACACATAGTTGGAACACCCCCCCCCCCCCCCCCTTTGTCCCGAGTTGGGAACCCCCCTTTTATAAAATGGCTGGATCCGCCCCTGCTTCCCTATAAAATCAACAAATTTTCCCCACCCCCTGGATCCGTCTATGTAACTGTTTATCGTTCTGCGTAATACTGGCTTTTTCACCTCCCTTACTTGGCCCTAGACATTTGCTTATCTGTTTAAAGTTCTATCACTGGCTTTTTTAGACTAGAGACTTCATGTGTACAAACCTGACGTCAAACTCGTGTACTATAAAAGAAGAGACAAATAATTTCACATTAAATCCTGTAACATTACATCTAAAGATAATTACAATCCAAAGTAAATTATATTACGATGTCAATGGACTAAATTCCCGCGCAAATGTCATCACTGGGATAGACCAAAACGAATTTAAGGTTTATGTATCATTCACATTCCGATCAATTTACTCAGTTAAATAAAATATATGTGTTAACTATTTTTATATTGGTTTTGATTTAGTTAATCTATCAGAAAAAAGGATTTATTTCTCGCAGATAGCCCTCAATACTATACACCAACTCGACACTAAAGCTATAAAACCCTAAAACATAATAGTATATGGAATTGTCCAAACGGATTACCTAATATTGATGTAGGTGAAATATGTAGATTCAGAATTGTGTACACAGAAATAAGATCAGAAATAAAGCCCTATGTAAGGTGAAAACAATAACACAACTGTATAAAATCATTGTTTATTAAATTTGCTTGCATAAGAACCATGAAGTTAAAATTCATAACGATTACGTTTATCCTGTCAATCCCTTTTCTTCATTGCATCAAGGCTTCCGTTGCTTTACATCGAGCAGCAATTCAACCAATTGGGGAATGTTAAGTTGGGACATACCTCTATTTTTAGAAGCGTGATCTTTACATCGAGGCTTGCGTTGCTTTACACCGAGGCCACAGTAGTTCGACCAATCGGGGAATGTTTATTTGGGGCATGTGACCTATTGAACTGCAGGTTTTATAATATTTTAATCGAAATTGTAGAAAAATGAAATGTTGTTAGTACATACAAAACAGAAAATGATGAATACTTTTAGTAAAAGATAAATTGGATCCGGGTTCTGTGTATTCACATCATTTGTACAACTCTCCTTACTGATGCCATTTTTTGGAATTTCTGTGACCTAAATGGTTCGCGAAAATTAATATTTTATTATATATATAGTAATAAGGGTTTAATATTGGAGTATTTTTTATTGGATGTTAAAGTAAAGGATACAAGATATGATGAGGAAGTCATCTTTCAGCAATCCAACTTTGCACTGATAATTTGGTAAAGCAGTATCATTTGTTTATAAATACAAGATGTATGCTTTTGAAATTGAACAGATAAGGCCCTGGAAATAATCTTTTTCTGTGGATTGACACTTACAAAATGTTTCAAACTTTGCTTTTGATGTTGAGAAAAGGTGGTACATATGTTTGTGCCAAAAAAGATAGATCTCTCTAATCTATATGCAATACAGAATTCTTTTTAATGTATGTTAGATGAACTCAAATTATCAGGGGAATTTATAAAAAAAACATCAAATCACTAAAGATATTCTGCGATTTGGAATATTACAATTGTATTAATTACCAGACTGCAGAAAAGGAACCAGTTGGATAATTTTTGT